TGGTCACATAGGCACCTCTGCCTAGCAGGTACCAAGTTCCAGAGTCCCAGAAGGAAAGCAGGTTTTCAGCAAAGACCACATTGTTTGCACAAACAATTTAGGCCCAGTGAGTCACCTTTATTATTTAGGGAAAGTTTCATGTGAACATAATGAACTGTTTACCAGCCAAGTTCCCAGATGCCAGCCAAGGGCCAACCTTGTCAGCAGACCTTTTTAAGGACAGCAATCTCAGGTCAGCTTTGTGAATTCTTTTCTGCACAGGGGGAGTGATGAACATAGAGGTATCATGAGTGACATCCAGCTTTCTACCTTAAGCCTGGAGATGGACGAATTTCACTTATGGAGCTGCAGGGGGCAAAGAAGTGCAGATTTATGGGAGAAAATGAGCATTTCAATTTTGAACCTAATGAAATTAGAGATAGCTGTGAGATAGGCTAAACTATGCTATGTTACAATAATAAACACCTTAAAAACTCAATACATTAAAACAATAAAAGTTTATTTCTTACTTAGGCTATATGTGGAAGTTGGGGAGTTGAAGGGAGTCTCTGTTCCACATAGTCACTCAGGGATCCAGGCTGGCAGGGGATGCACCAACTAGAATGTTGCTAATTCTTGCAACAGAAAAAGGGGCAACGGGAGAAGCCTGCTGTCAGTTCTTTCACACTTCAGTCTAGGAGTGACGCGCTGCATTTTCACCTCTGCCCACTGACCAGAACTGGTCACACGGCATCAACAAACTGTAAATGTGGCTGGAAAATGTGGGGTAGTAGATGCAGTCTAGGAGTGACGCGCTGCATTTTCACCTCTGCCCACTGACCAGAACTGGTCACACGGCGTCAACAAACTGTAAATGTGGCTGGAAAATGTGGGGTAGTAGATGGGATGTTTGATGAACACCTCTGTTTCTGCCATGGTATCCAGGTGAAAATATCAAGTAGGCATCCCAAGAAATGTTTATGTTGTGAAGACATTTATCTGGGGGTCATAAGCCATCCTCAATTTCTCATGATCTGAGTCCCAGTGGCCTAGTAAGGATAATGTTTTACCCTTTTCTGGTTTTAAGGAATAGGAAATCCAGATTGGTGGATACCCTTTGAACCTCCTTGTAGTGAAACCAGCAGCACACAGGTGCCTTCACTAGCTCACATGAAGGCGGCTTTTTAATCTCTCTAAGAGGAAGGGCTTGGTGCCTGGAAAGCCTGCCTAAAAACAGCCTGATGCTGGGGGGGGGGGGGGGGGCTGGGCTCACAAAGGCGAGAAAGGACACCTGATGCTATCTATACGTGTAGATATTGACAGTCAAGATCACTGAGGAAAAGCTGGGGTTTTCTCACACCACAGGTACCACTAGGTGTCACTAGTAGGCCAAAGTTAAAAGCACTGAAAGGAAAGGAAGAATGAATGGGAGAAGGAATGGAGGAAGATGCAAACTGGTTCTAAGAACAGAAGAGGTAGAAAGTGCCCCAAGATGGCCACAGGTAGAACTTAGTGGTAGCAGTGCCCACACTGTCTAGAACTGTTCTATTGCCAAAGAAAAAGTAAAATAACAATAGGAATTATGAATTTTAATCAGAACTGCAATGGCTTTGAAATGGCCTTTATGGGTTCTTGCTATTACCTGTGCATGCATGGTTGCCTGCCTGAATACGTGTGTGCATCTGGGAAGTGGAGAGAGGTAGTTCATTCTGCCCACTCCAAACATTTCATATTATCACATGAATAACCACATTAATACTTTTGTTAGAAATAAAAGAAAGTTTTCCTTCCTCTCATTCTTCTTGTGTATACGAGAGTACACCAGAAAGTTCATGGAAAAATAGAATTAAAAGATAATAAGAATCTTTCCATGAACTTTTTGACGTACTCTTGTATGTGTGTGTATATCTACAGTCGATGGATCTAAGATGTGTCCTTTTTTAAAGCCCAGATTATACCAAAGCAAAAGGGGACTTTTCATTAAAAACGGCAAATTTTATTTAGTCCTTTGATTATACGAGCTGGGGACTGCTAACACTCTCCATGTGCCAATAAAATAATTAGGGATGGCTAACGGAAAATGGAAATTATAATAAATCAAAATAAATTACCACTTTGCAAAGTGATGCATCAAAACTAGATGATTAACTTGTTTGAGTCAGGGAAACAAATGGTCAAAAGGAAAATTATCTCATAAAATCTTACTGATCACCCTAAAACTATAATGAACAGAATAGTATCAGAAGAAACTAGCACTGGCAGCAAATGCATTATTCTGAGCTTCTCAACTTTTTACATGTCGAGACACATAAAAAGAATTGCATTTATGTGGCACACTGGGGTAAATGGACAAGGCTCCTGGGTTTTTGCTGTTCCAGGACCTAGTGTCTGAGATCACTATGTCAGCATACCAAATACAAATTGTGATGTTCAACCTTGGGTTCACAATGGAATCACCTGGGAAATTCGAAAGGTATATTGGTTAACCCTCCTCCACCCAAGATTTTTATTTCATTGGTCTGGGGTGCACACTGGGCATCATGACTTTTAAAAACTCCCAGGTGACTCTAAGGCAATGCCAGGGTTAAGAACCCCTGCATTAGAAGATAGTAAAGGAAACTTTTAAAAACCGATCAGACTCACCCAGCTCCCACCTCTGAACACAAATATGAGTTTTTGTTCTGTTTTTGTTTTTTAAAATAGAAAAAAACAAAATCGCAAAGTTCAAAATATGAAGTGAAAACCCTCCATCTCCCTCCAAAGCAACCAGTTAATATTCGTTTGATTTTTTTCAAAAAAAGTTTATGTACATACCCGCCTATTTTTGTCTTGAGAAATAATTTTTGCTTACACTAAAGAGAACACACTACACACAGTATTCTGGGAGGGGTCTTCAAAAAATTCATGGAAAGATTTATATTATCTATTAATTCCATTTTTCCTCGAACTTTTTGAAAGACTACCATATACTTTGCCTTTTAATTTTTATTACTTCAATTTTATAGAATCTGTTGAGTATACAGTATTGCATGTATACTACTACGAGATAATTCACATCTGTCCTGTAATTTATTTCACCATTCCCCTGTGTTGATCACTTTAGCTATAATTATTCTTTCATTGCAATAAACATCTTTATACCTGGATTACAAGCATCATGACGAACTCCCTGCAAATATTTTTATAGAGTAAATTCCTAGAAATGAGATGGCTGGGTGCATTTAAAATTCGGGTAAATGTAGTGAGATCAACACCTGAAAAATAAATTGATGCCACCCACATTTGCCAAACAAACGACTAAGGCTGGCAGTTCGGAGGTGCTACCAGAGCGCTCTGCCAGCGGTCACCATGGGGCCAGGGGACCCCGGGGCGGGAGCTCTCTGGTCACGTGGACGGCTTCGCCCCGCCCCGCGAAGGCGCCGCGCGGGGGCTGCAGCTCTGGCTCGCGCAGTCGCATCACGCAGAGGCGGAGGCGGGCGGGTCTCGCGGAGGCGGAGCGAGAACTCGAGGAAGGTAAATTCTGTTCTCGCTACGCGGGGTTGGGCGGGGCTCGTGGGGCCAGCTGCTTCCGGCCGGGCCGCGGGCCTGCATTGGGGCTTCCGGCTGCGGCCGGGCTGCGGCCGTGTGGCAGCTGTTCTTGGCCGCTCAGAGCACTCCTCCTCCTGGGCCTCGGTTCGACGTTTGTTAACGGTTAACTATCTAGGGCAGGCTCCCGCCCAGACACAGGAGGCCCACCGAGCTTGTTCACCCTGAGGAGGGCCGCACCCACGATCTGCCGCCTCTGGGAGGGCAAGTGGAGCGTTTTTAACAAGCTTGCCTGGCATTTGTGCGCTCTTAAGATATAAAAGCTACTCCAGGCTTTCTGCAGTCCCGGCTGTCCCACATTTTCGTCTCCTGGAGACGGGAGACTCCACTGCATCTGGACAGCCATGCTCAGACTGTGTCTGTCCTGGGCGCTGCTCGATTTAACTGCAGACTGTCTTTCCTGAAATGCTAAATACGGCTTGAAGTCATGCTGGATAAACTGTCAGAGTTGGTAGGACCTTAGAGGTGACACCTGGCTTGATTTGAGCGTTTCCCATGACTAGGCCCTGCTCTGAACATTTGAAGTGTGTTGAAGCATTTATTCCTCACCACACCCCTATGTGGCAGGCCTTTCGTACAGAGGAGGAAGCTGCAGCACAGCGAGATAAAGCGACTTGCTCCAAGCACGCAGGAGGAATCGAACCCAGGTCGAGCTCACCTGTAGTCACGGATCTCATCAGACGGTGGTAGCGATTTCCAGAGAGGCTGCATGACTTTATTAAATTATTAGACAAATATTCAATTTTAAACGTCTGTGGACACAAGGCTTGCACATTAGGGTTCCTCAATTAAAAAAAAATTCAGGACCATCAACATACGTACGTCATCAGTATAAGTATCACATATATTACCAATATAAACCTTTGCTAAGAGGCTTTTGTGCCTTCAGAATGGTTTCCTTTATTTTAAAAAGCCACATGCTTTTATAAATTTGTGGATGCTACCTAAGTGAAGATAATACCTACCCCTTGGCGGTTTTGAGAGGGTTAATGAGCTAATATATGCGAAGTGTCCAAGCAGTAGGCATCCGCTGAAGGAAAGCTAGTTTATTATTCTGCCATCCAAAGAGTTACAAAAACTAATCAGGCATTTCTGTTCCCTAAACCTAAAAGCAAGGGTGTCACCCTGGAGATAAGCATGCTAAAAATGTGGAGGCTAGGTCCCCCGACTTAGTAAAAGCACGCTAGTCATTGCTCAAGAGAAGTGACGAGTAAGTACGTTTAATTTCATATCTCTTTTTGTCTCCGGTGTCTTATAGAAACTTAAGTTAAAATATATTTTTTTAATTCAACCTGAGTATATTCTCTGTGTTGGAAAGGTATCACGCTAGTCATTGCTCAAGAGAAGTGACGAGTAAGTACGTTTAATTTCATATCTCTTTTTGTGTCCGGTGTCTTATAGAAACTTAAGTTAAAATATATTTTTTTAATTCAACCTGAGTATATTCTCTGTGTTGGAAAGGTATCTTATAGCAACTGAGGATCTATTTAGCTAATTTTAATTTTATATGGCATTAGCACCTTTAGAAACCTAATTTTAGGGACAGGCCAAAAATTTTTCTTGAAGAGAATTGTGGAAGAGAAGAGCTAAGTTTTTCAGAAGGAAGTTTTCATCTAACCCTCAAACGGTAAATTGTTGAATTTTTCTCTTTCTTTTATTCAGTTAAGATTCTATCTTAAAAGCAGACTCAAAAATAGAGGAAATGTGTGGAAGTATATGAATAGTTCATCAAAGTTACAGTAACTAAGGTGAACACATGGGCTCTTGTCTGAATGGACCGTGATATTCACAATATTTAATTAAGAATAATATGGGTATAAATTATAAAGTCTTTAGATATCATAAATAAATAGTAGTATTTATGATGCATAGAGAAAACTATTATTTGAAGGATGAGATAATACTTTCCTAAGCAAAGTACAAGGCTGTAATCTTAGTTCTCTGAAACCTTTATCATTTAGGACCAGCCTTCTCTGCTCATTTCTTATCAGCCTCTTCAAAAGTTCACTGCAGTTAGTCTTCACTGGAGGCTAACTCTGCGAAGACTATGCTTGAAGAGATCAAAGTTTGAGGAAGGACTGTATTTGGTTCTCATTTATTTGGGAGTCAGGAGAACTTAATTAACTTTTTAAAATTATTTTTTAAAAAATTAACATGTTAGTCTACATCTCCTGTAGTATCTCCTTTCTAGTTTTTGCCTGGAAAAAAAAATAGAACTATTCATGTACTTTCTCCTCTAGTTCCAACGTTTGAAATAAGCTGTACGAATTCTCAAATACTTCGTTCATGACCTATGCACAGGGATATATAGATATTCTCTGAGCATGGAAAGTTCAATTTTATCCCCTTTTTCTTAGATTTTGGATCATTTGCTATATAAATATAAAGGAGGATACAACTGAAATACTTAAAGGAGTAATTTTAAATATAAGAACTAAATATTTTGAGACTTTAAGAAATTTTATGTTTATTACCTTGCTTTTTTTTAAAATATGAGTTTACTCTATATACATGTTTCTGTGAATAATATATTGTTTGGTTTTGCCTGTTTCTGCACTTGGTAAAAATGGAAGCATACTTTGAATTCTTTATAATTTTTTAAAATTTGAAGTTATGTTTTTGAAACAACTTGAGGTAGTGATACATTTTTCACTGTTACATGGCATTCCATTGAATGAATATGTAAGGATACTTCAAAAAGTTTGTGTAAAATGGAATTAAAAGATAATACAATCTTTCCATGAAATTTTTGAAGCCTCTTTGTACAAATTATCCATTCTATTGTTGATGGGTTTTGAGTTTCTTGTCCTTTGCTGTTGTAACCATTCTTGTGTATTTTTCCTAGTGTACCTGTACACATTCCTCTGGCATATACCTAGAGATTGATTATTGGGTGGTGAATATGTTCCGCTTTACTACGTAATGCCAAACTGTGGTAGCACTAATTGAATTCATTACTAGCAGTTGCTCCATATTCTCGCCAATACTTAGTATAATTTTTTTCCAGTCTAGTGAATGGAAAATAGTATCCCATTTGTGTCTTTGCTTTGCAGTTCCCTTGCACTTTCCTACAAATGAAGTTGAGCCTCTTTATATATGATGACTGGCCACTCAGATTGCCTCATCTGTGAAATGTTTTTTCATGTCTTTGACCCATTTTTCTGTGGTTATTTGGCATTTTCTTATTGCTCATTAGTTCTTTATATATTCAGAATCTTAATCCTTTGTCGGCCATATGTGTTGCAAATTCCACATTTCTTTCCTTTCTTTTTCTTCAGCCTATCCCCCCTTCTTTCAGTTCATTTGTTCTCATTTTTCTTGTCATTATTGCCCCTCTGTCTGTTTTGTCACAAATGTGATAAAGACTGCACACCCAACTCTGAAAGTAAATACTACCACCTGAGCAATTGGTATACTTTGAGGACCTGCCAAAATCAAAGTCAAATGACTGTGTAGAGATACAGTATTCCAACCTCTTGTCAGCCATAGCTAACTTAGAAAATGATAGCTGTGGTTTTCTTTGCCTTTTCTTAAGAACAATGTGTTTTTGCTTTCTTATTGTGAGATAAGTTTTGAAACAGCATATGTATTATTTTATTCATTCTTTTTTAAGTAACCAGGTTAGAGAAAGGATTAAAAATACAAACTTCAGAGTACAAATTTGACATCCCTATAATTTTCTAAGCTTGCTTTGTGTAATGCTTCCCTTTATCCATTGAATTGAAACACACACACACACACACACACACACACACCCTCCCTCCCTCTACCTACACCTCAGTTTTAGAACCCAGGTTTACAATTTATCTCTCTGTCTTTCATAGGGCTCAGAACTACCCCTCTCAAAATAGTGGCCTATAAATTCTTTCTTTCTAAAAGTTACTCCTGACACACTTGCATAGACATTTTACTCCTAAATAATAATTTCTGTTTTATAAACTTACTTTTGCTTCTAACATTTTAAAACTTTCAACCAGTCATACAGGATTAAATAAATATTTAGAGATGCTATCAGAAAAGTTCTCTGCAGAAAGCCTGCAGCCACTTCACACTTCCATGAACAAATTTTCCCTCATTGGGAGGGAATTGAGTCCATAGTTGGTAACCATTCTATGCTAGGTACACCAAGGTCCAACTGCCCCTTTTAAAGAAGTTGGCATTACTAGGGTACTTCAAAAAGTTCATGGGAAAATGGAATCGAAAGATAAGATGAATCTTTCCACGTATTTTTTGAAGACTTCTCGTATTTTGTCTTTGTTTTATGTAAAATGTTAATCTAAGACTTGAATGAAATTAAAACGATAGGTTTCTGTTGATCAAGGAAATGTACATTGTCATTCTGTATAACTTCCCATGAAATAAGACAATATTACTGTATTTGAAGAGCGTGTGGATTATGAAAGATCATCTTCCTAAAATTAGAATATTTATTTGAAGTTGCTATATGATTTATAATTTTGTTAAATACCCTAAATTGTAGACAAGTGTATGTGTGTTTAATATCAAGGGCATTCCATGGCAAACTTCTTAATGTTTAATAGCAGCTGAGTCTCTACAACTAACATGGGCCATCACTTTGATTCACTTTCTTTCCTTTTCCATATGTAATTTTTTATCTTGCATTAAGGCAGAGTTGGATACCTCTCAAGTTTTTTATTTTTCCCATCTTTTAATTTTTTTTCCTTTATGCTTTTGTATTTGCTGTTCCTTCAGTATGGAAATCTCTTCTCCCAGCTCTTAGCATGTCTAGTTCATTTGTATTTTGGGGGGTTTCAGCTCAACTGTCATCTCAGTTACCTTACCAGCCCATTCTTTGCAAAATTGCCTCCTCCTGTCACATAGCAGATGTTCAGAAAATATATAGAAAATGAATGATCTTCTCTAAGCAGGAAGGAAAACTTTGCAGAAGGAGAATCTGAAGATCCATTGTTGAAAGTTTTCTTTTTATTCTGTAATTCTGCTGTGCTAAAGATTATTGTCAATAGCCACTCCTTGAGAATTTTTGCTGTTTGCTTTTTAAACATATATTCCTTCCTAAATAGGTTACAAAGAAACTTGTTCATCCATGTCCCAAAGACAAAGGTAGGTTACTATTAGGTGCTACCACGAACCCTTAATTTCTGCCGTCTGTCATAACCTTTAATATCTGTCATACAATAAAGGAATTGAAGTAGCACTTCTCCAAGATAATGATCCAGATACATAGGGATCTCATGCCTGAATGTGATAGGCAGCCCCTCTCCTGTCCATCCACATTGTGGAGTGAGCTTGCCTTATGCCAGTTGCAGGGCTGGATGTTGTCCAAATGGTTCAAGATTCCCATTCTCCGGCAGAGAGCAGAAACCATGCAGGGATATCCAATAATATACTTATTAGGAAATAAATGAAAAAGCAAGACTCTTTGGTATCAATTTCTGTCCTGTGATTTTTATTTATGTGCAGATAT